CATACTGGTAGTAATAATATGTTAATTTGCATACACGGGTGCAATTCAATTGATATACAGTATATACTCGAGTACTCAGTTGTAATTGTCACTGAAGATGAGAACTGGCTTTCTCGAAACATGTCTGCTTTAATAACATTAAAGACTGGTGTTCTTGCTCTTTTATTGTTAACCCCAGTGGTTATCTCTTTAATTGCTTCTGTATTTACCTTTCTTTGATGATTTATATATAAGTTAACAGTGTTTACGGTTATCTTGATTATAATTATATGTTACTATTTATTTCCAGCTGTACTTAACGCCCTCTCAAGGTGCACCATCATTGTGTAATACAATGTAGCTGGCAGTTATTTGAATCTGTTCAACCATGAAGCCTCTGTGTTCCAATGGTTAAAACGCTCGCCTTGACAGTGAGAGGTCGCAGGTTCGAATCCCCATCAGAGCATTTTATTACACAATGCATTTATTTACGGGACAACATTCGTTATCATCTGGTAACATCCATGAATCCAAAGTATGTGAATATTTGAAAATTTGCCTAAAATAATTCTGTTTTCATGTTTTCTAGAGAATCCATTTTACCTAGCAGTGTTCCATCACCATGGCAACTAGCCCTGTTATCAAGCAAATAGACACCCTGTTTCTGAAATGTGGGATTTGTCTTGAACGCTACCAAGCACCAAAGGTTCTTCCTTGCCTTCATACATTCTGTCAGAAGTGCCTGCACAATTACATCCCACCTGAATCTCTGACAATCTCTTGCCCTATTTGCCGTCAACAAGCCATTCTACCGGCCAGTGGCGTTGAGGGTCTTCAAGCGAATTTCTTCATTACTAACTTAATGGAGGTTTTGGAGAAACCAGAAAATAATAACATACCCGATCTTGGGGTCGCGGAGACTATGCCATGCTCACAACATGAGGGACAAGTCCTGGAATTTTACTGTAGTGACTGTGAGACAGCAGTATGTCGTAAGTGCACTGTAAGAGAGCATTGTGATCACACGACAACCCTTCTGAATGATGTTATCGAAGAACATAAGGATGCTCTTCAAGGAGCTCTTGATAACGTCAAGGCGAAGATTCCTGACATGAAATTAGCAACGGATCGGATTCAACAGCTATCAGAAAAATTAATGATCAAGAGAGAAGAAGCACATGCAGATTTAGATAAATCTTTCCAATTGTTAGAAGACATTTTGAAGAATCGTAAGGCAACATTACTGAATGAAATGGACAAAGTTCATAAGGAAAAGCAGAGTATCTTACAAAAGCAACAGAAAATGATGAAAGATGGACTTACCAATATGGAGAGTTGTTGTCGATTCACAGAGCAGGCTCTTGAGAAGGGCAATGACACCCAAATATTTATGGTTAAGAAGCAGATGATGGAAAGGTTGCAAGAGCTGGCAAATATACAAATTAACCTACAACCAGAAGAAAATGACTTCATCCGTTACAAGCCAGAAACTGGGAGTATTCAGAGAGCAATATCAAACGTTGGTGAAATCCTGACCAACAGTGCCATTGCTTATGAAACCATTGCTACTGGTGATGGACTGCGAAGGGGAGTTCTTGGTGAGGAGATGTCAGTCACAGTCACATCTAAGAATTGTCAAGGGGAATTGATCAAGACTGGTAATGCATCTTTAGATGTCAAACTAGAAAAACTAGATGGATCCATTTTACCAGTTGAAATCAGTGATAATCATAATGGGACTTATGAAATTTTGTACAAGTTTGAGCAGGAAGGTAACTATGAATTACACATCCAATTATTTGGTGAGGAAATCAAAGGAAGCCCTTTCAAAGTTAAAGGAGTTACACCATCAGAAGTGAGTCCAAGAAACATGGGAAGTCGGATACCAAGATCCACAGTAAAACAGAGAGCCTTGCGTCGGCCACACAGTGTAGCAGGCACTATGAAGATGTACAACAAACAGA